GAACTTCCTGTGGTTCAGTTTCTGCCCGTTGCCTCTTGTCCTGTCGCTGGGCACCACGGAGAAGAGACTGGCCTCATCCTCTTGACGCTCCCCCTTCAGATACTTGTACACGTTGATGAGATCCCCTCTCAGTCTTCTCTTCTCCAGGCTGAACAGGCCCAGCTGTCACAGCCTTTCATCACAGGAGAGATGCTCCAGTCCCCTGATCATCTTTGTAGCCCTCCACTGGACTCTCTCCAGTAGTGGCATGTTTCTCTTGTACTGGGGAGCCCAGCACTGGACACAGTACTCCAGGTGAGGCCTCCCCAGGGCTGAGTAGAGGGGCAGGATCACCTCCCTCCACCTGCTGGCAACACTCCGCCTAATGCACCCCAGGAGACCATTGGCCTTCTTGGCCACAAGGGCACACTGCTGCCTCATGCTTAACAATGTTAACATGCTTAACACTGGAAATATTTCCTCGCTATACTTCAGAGTGAGGTAGTATAATTTGCCCTACCTTTGAAATTTTAGTAGAGGAAATATCCTCAAAATGGTGTCATTTCCTTTAAAATATTCATTTCAGAGTATATCTTTTGGTTTTATTTATGAAAATGAATATGACTGTAGTCTATCACTTTAGATATCCTGATCAATATATTCCTTAACATTCTCTTCATCCCATACACAGTAATCAAACATACAAAAACCAACCCATACTTCATTCTTGACTTTGATCCCTCTTTCATATCTTGAAAAGCAAAGGAGAAAATATGTTTTTCAGTGTGTCCTGAAGGCCAAAACAGTCCAGGACTAAGGCTGTCATCTCTATACAAACGAAAGTAACACACAACATGGAAATAAAATAAAGGAATACTTGTAGAAATTCCTGATTTGAGGATCAAATCAGGAAGCTCATCAAGCTAAGAAATATGCAATATGTAGAGGAGGAGATATTACAACACTACTTACTTGCATTATTTATGTGCACTCTATTGCTGTTTGTCGTTTGTTTAGCCTTAGCTTAACGCAAAAAAAATACTTTTCAGATAACGTCCATACAAGTAAAATCCCTTTGACTCATACCTTTTGCTTGATTAAAAGTAAAGCAATAAGTCTTTATCCTCTTAACCTGAACTGATTCGTGTGTCCTAAATACCTGCAGTCCCCTTTGAGACAAACAGTGATATCATAAACAGAAAAAAGTATCTATTGATGTTAAAAAGAACGCAAGCTAGAATATTGGATTTGTCACGTTGGAACTTAGCCCCAGTATATTTCATCTGTTCTCTCACAGGCGCCTCACCAAGATGTCACAGAAAAGGCAACATCATCACTCTCAGTCCCAACAAAAATTCTCCAAAATGTATCTGACTGAGGTTTATATTATGGAATGCTTGGGATGGAGACACGTGAATGGCTCCAGCCCCAAGCACACAAGGCAGGTTGAAGAATAAGAATCTCATCAGCATGTTCTCCTCCCTATTCCTGTTGACTCGCTTTGTAAAATTTCACAGTTGGAAGCTGCTTAGGATTTACAGAAAATGTGTAAACACAATATGGTATCCGTATCAATTCTCTTGATGCTTTTCAAAAGGGTAGCAGCTAAAAAAAAAAAAAAAAAAAAAAGGCTAAAAAAAAGCTAAGGCTTTACCCAGCACTGGAGATGGCCTTCAGCTTTTGCAAACCCTACTGTAGAGTGCCTACGTTATATAAGAGTCCTCAAAGAGCGTTTCCTCTTCTTTCATCCTCTGATTGCTAGCTGATATCCACTGCGGTTTAGCTTCTGGGAATCCCATCTATAAAAATGCAATGACTACACCACTAGTTTTAACTTCTTATTTTTCTATCTACATAATGCAGCTGACAAACTTCTGTGCTTTATGAAAACACAAATATATAATGCAAAGCATGTGCGTTTATGTTTATTTTCTTTGACTACATTTCAGTATAAATTTAGGATCTAAACACTCACTTTGAATCCAGACAGATGCATGCATTTACAATATATAATGCATAATTTTAATTTTTAGTATCACAAAAATTCTTTTCCTACTCTTTGATTCACTTAGTAATCTTACAAAGGCTTTCTATGTATATTTATTTGCAAGATCAATTGTATCTATTTCACATTTAATGACTTATCATAAGCATTTATGATAAAACTTACATATCAAGATAAATGCCAAACAAAAACATGTTAGCCCCCTGCAAGAAAAATGACAATAAATCAACAGTATATGTTGGCCTTCCTTACTATAGGAGCTATCATTCTCCTACAGCTACTATCATTCCTTATTGCCCAAGCTCTACTGCTAGACAGGATCTTTTCCCTCTCTCTGCTGCTTTCCAGAGGTTCTGTTGCCTTTCAGCTACAGACTACTCTCATCACGATTAGCTCTTTCTTTTAGCTGTACCTCCCTCTCTTCTCCTTGACCTTTTGTATCCCTTTATCTTTATCCATTACTCTTCCCTTCACCCCATTTGCCTAATTTACTTTGTCCTGAATATTAAGAGTGAAAATGGAGGTTAAACAAGCTTTTCCCAGCTTCCACTTTCATTTCTTAATTTGAGGTGCTTCTTTAAAGAGGAAATTGAATCTGCAAAGAGCTAGGAATATAGTTTTTAGGAATCTGTTGAGATGTCAAACATCCCAGATTTCCAGAAATCTCAAATTCTTGATCTGTCTGGCAGTATTCACTGTTATTTCTTTGCCGTTCTTCTCTACAAAACAGAATTATTCCATTTCTTGCTACAAAAAGCCTTCTCTTACTTGAAGATCTTTCCAAACATGGCATCATTATTCCTCATCTGATCCAACAGAAACATTGCACTATCAAACGCACTATCAAATGCATTATCAAAATGTGCAGCACAGCTGGGAGCACTTTTCAATACAACCAGAGATCCTTTTACCTTGAGAGTCACACCTCATGACTTTGTTCCACACTTCTATTTTCGGCATCCATTCTCTGACAACCACCTTAACAAGGAATCCCAGCTCTATGGGCTTGTCACTTCCTGATACTTGTGTGATTGGCTCTTTTCTTTCAGGCTGCAGATAAGAAACTTCTCAGAGGACAAATCGGAAATTTTATACAAATAAAAGCATGTACACAGTGCGACTCTCCTGATGAAGCTCAAAAGGGTTCATTACGCAGACAACATAAACTACTAAAGTAGAAAAACAAAATTAGCTCTCACATCATTTGACTGTGCCCATGCCAAAACAAGAAATAAATCACTGAAGCTGTGTATTATGCATGGGGTATACAACACTGTTCAAATTTTATTTTATTTTATTTTTTTTAATGACGAAGGGGAATTTGCAGGAGTGAGATGTGATTTAAACATCTTAGCCTAACATCATTGCTAATTGTAATTGCTATTAGAAGAACCTTGTTTTCCTCTAGGGCTTTACGTAAAGACTCGTTCTACCCCAAGTATGCATGGGAAATGTTTACGGGCCATTACAGAACAAACACTGAACATGAAAGCCACAGCAGCAAACCAGCAAATATCCCTAGCTGTGATGCCAGAACTTGGCTGTTTAGCTATCAAGCGGACATTAACAGAAGACAGATAAGTAATTATTCAATGAAGTTGGATGAAATATGTTTAAATGTGTCCAAACTATAATGCCAAATAGAATCTAAAATTTGATGAATGGGAAAAATTACACATAGCAGAACAACATAATTTCCATGTAACATTCTTAATTATGAAATATTAACATTTCAGCATGCAAGGTTTTAGCAGCAGTTTGGAAACTCACATATGAAATTGAGTACCACATATTTACGTATAATTGAATCTGTACAAAAGATCCCAATCTGTGTGCAGAATAGGCTTTGGTGCACAGTACCTTGGGGCCAGGTGGGGGGAACAGCTCAAAGGCCATCGCATCTTGCCTAGACTTCCCTGCTCAGAGTCAAAGCTGCCCTGTACAGCCATGGCAACAGCCAGAAGCTCTTATCACTGCACAGGAGATGACCTGCACAGGAAGGCAGAAAGGGTCTTTAATGGCACACCCTTTTCCTCTCCTGGCCTCAGGAAAGCCTTGCTCATTCCTGACAGGAGAGCAATGACATTGGTAGAGAACAGATAGCACATGGGATCCTGAAAGTAGCAGCTGCAACAGCTGCTGGCAGATAGATAAAAAGGAGTGTTTTGCAGTGGATGGGACTTTAACATGCCTAAATAAAATACCTGAAATTATAGAGAAAAGGGAAATGTTATATTTTGTTTGAGTAGCATGAGAGTAAGTGTGACTTAACGATGAAAGAAGCGTTCCACAACAAAACTAGAGCTGGCTGAACAGTCAACTAAAAACCTTGGAGGAATGAATCCAAAAAGGTATTTATGAACCTTGTCAAAGATTTAAGCTGATTCTGCAAATGAAAAAAGCAAATAGCAAACAGCAAAAATATTTTTATCAAATTTTCTAAGCATGTACAGCTTTTTCATGCGAAAGGAACTGCAATGAGCCAGTGCCAGTATACAAATTTTGATTCTGAGCGTGAGGGCACAGATTTAAATGCCTTCTTCAAAAAATATCTATTGTAAAACATACGATTAAATGAGGGAATAGGGAGGGAGCAGGCAAAAAAAACGTATTAAAAGGACACAACACAGTGTACAACGCAACAGCCACCATGTTCTCTAATGAAGGACTACATTTGTGCTATTCTGTAATATAAACCCATAGAGAAATATCCAAAGTACATAGATACATTTTCAGGAGAGTTTTTGAATCAAGTGCTTAGTAGTTAAGGCCATTGTAAAGAATACTTCGGACACTACACAAACACCTGCCCCAAACAACAACCAATTTTATTTTATCAATAAAGAGGTTTCTGTAGCCAAACAAACATGCAGGCCCCATGTAGAACAATTTCACAAAACTGGTAACTACACTGAGTCAATTTATAATCAGTTAAATTGAAGTAAAACCATAGTTTAAAATATCCCATGAAACATGTACACGCTATAAATATAAGTTACAGAATGTGTAGTCTGTGTTCTAACTGGCCAGAACAATCCGGTCATAACGATTTCATTTTAATAAGTAATAAAACAAGAAGAAGATATAAAAGACACAATGACAAATATGAATGATAAATCCTGGCACAATGATTTGAAAAAGGACAAGCAGAAAACAAAACATATTAGCCATAGCTATCACAACATTTAATTTTGAAATATTTGAAGGACGGAGAACAAAATTGAGTATTAGCATAAATATTTTGTTCTGATCCTCCAATCCAAATAATTTTGGGGATAAAAGGATGAAAAATGTTTAGACTGAGTTTGTTCACACCCTGTTTTCTTAGCCTGCAAAAAAGACTGATTTAAGCTTTTTTCCATACAATGTTATCTGTATATAAATACAGACTGTGATTGGCAGTGGCTGGAAGTCTGTACGTTAACTCATAAATTGCATATCTAGTGTTAACTTGGAACATATCTTGTATGAACTTGGAAATGTAGTTGACTATTTGGAATGATTTTAATTAAAAGCTACTTATACTATCTGACATGGACATGCATATTTTCTGTCACCTTTTGTTGCTCAGTGCTTTGCGTATTTCAGAGGTATAGAAGATTGGAAGGCCTCTCTTTAGTCCCTGCATACATTCTCTGCTGATAAAGACAACTGTGTGAATAGTTTGCTATCATTCAGCTATTATTAGACACATTAGACAGCTTCCTTTTTCTTTTTTTAATAATATTGTCCAGGGAACCTCTGTAAGTCTCATTATGCTAGGTTAACTGCCACTGCTCATGAACAAAGGGGAAAGACGTACAATAAAAACAAAACTAGTTATCTTTTAACCACATGTGAATTCCTGGCGCAGCTGAAGTCAGTGGGTGTCTTGCCATTTGTTCAGAATTTCACCGCACACTTAAAGAAACCTCAAAGGAGGTGTTCTCACTCCTTAAGGCTTCTCTCACAGAGCAATCATAAACATAGAGCAAGGAGGAGAAGATTAAGCTAGATGCATAAATAGATTAGGGTACAAGATCTAAATATTGAATCGAAAAGTTACCTACCCGAAGCCCTCACTCGGCAGCTCCTTGCTCTGGAAAGGCCTAACATTCCCGGTACCTCAATTTTGCTTATAAAATACCTGAGGCACACCCAGAACTGCTTAATGTCCTTAAAAGGAATTCCCAAATTATGGAAGTACCATCGTCTTTCTCCCCTGTGAGGCCATATGCAACTGGTGTTCTTAGACAAAGAGGTTGTTTCTTGTACAAAATTAAGAAAAAAGTACTGTATCTTTTGTCCTTATCTTTTAATGTCCTCATCTTTCAGAGAACCCAAAGGTTAAATCACTCATCCAGGATAATTTAAGGTTAAATTTCAGCATAATTTGAACCACATCAGCCATTTCCCAAGGGAATGTATTATCACCATGTCTCAAATACGTTAGAGTGAAATTTTCTCAATCAGTCCTCTTAAATGTCTCCATTTTACATATAGTAACTTGGCAGGAATTCAAAGACTGGAGAGATCTGATCAGCTCTAAGTCCGTTCAACTACTTTATACAGTATGCAACAATTTCTTCTAAAGAAACTATAAAAAGCACTCTCAGGACTCCCTTCCCCCACTGCCACCTTCAAAGATGGAAGAATAAGTTTAAAATGACAGTGAATGTTTCACAGTAAGGAATAAGTTATATTGGATCTGCCTCTCCCCTGCTTTGGGGATTTCTTAGAAAGGGCATCTAATTTCAGGAAAGAGTTACTGGCTGTGAAGATGCAGACCCTTCGCTTTTTTAAGGAGTAAGACTTATGCTTACTTAGGACTTCTCATTATCATCACTTGTTGACTATCTCTAATGTTTTCTGCAGACTCCATTCTTGGGCATCTAACCCCATATGCATACTACGATTGCTTAACTATTGATTTGTCCAGCACTGAAAAGTTGATCCCTGCAAATTCTTTAGGCTGATGGAGAATATAGGCACATAAAATAAGGGAAAACAGAGTTTCTTCCTGGCACTCTTTAGCTCTAAATTACTAGTCTTATTGATCAAATGGTGTATAATAACGCCAGTGTCAAATTGAACTGTTAAAATATTTTCCTGGGGAAGTCATACTTCTGAGACTTGCACAAATGTTCTTGTATTCATAGCCTTTTGCATTAATATTGCTGAGCTCACTTACACACACCTGCTTCACGATCACCCTCCTGAGTTTTCACTTGTTCTAGAGATGTAACACTTTAAAACAAAAATCTCCTTCATTATATCTAAATTTTGTGTCCCACGATTTTATCTCTGACTCAGGACATCTTGGCTCTTAATCTTTTGTTACTATCTTAATTAAATGGAAAACAATTACTCAGAGTAGCCAGTTCCCTGGAACATTTCCATAAAGAGATCTGAAAAGAGGAGTTTGTTTCTCAACCTGGCTCTCACTTCTGTTGCTTTGAAGAGCAACCGAGATAAATTATTTTCTGTTCTCTGTCCATCACATAATATTTGAGAACACATCAGCCTATTGTAGGGTTACGGTACTGGCTCACACATACACTGCTTCAAAGACGGTTACTGGTAGAGCAAAACTTACAGTGAAGAATTATCAAGAATACTCTATTATACATAGAATATGGTGCTAGAACATGGACCAAACAATTCTCAATACAGCAAAGAAGTTAATAGACCCTCCCTACTGAAATACCCATGGGTATGTTGAATTTAGAGGCTCTTTTGCTCTCCTGACCCATTCATCCTTTTCTAGATTGTACCAAAGAAAGCAACTGCTGCAATTACTGTTTTATTAAATGATAAGTCTTGATAGGCTTTTTCCTTCAAAAAAAGGAGATATCAAGGTGGAGGTAATATGTAAGACATAAATATGATAACACTCATTATGCCTACCATGTTAATTTGGTACACTGCCACGTGCCATTTTTAAACACTTCTGAACACTTTTAAAAGCTTACGAAAACAAGCAGGATATGTTTTCTCAAAAAGCAAAACAAGAAAAGCTGAAAGCCTGTATTTCATTATCCCTGAGCCAGAAGGTGCAAAACTCGTATGCAGAATTCAGAAGAGTTACTGTGAGCTAGATTTCTGAGAAGAAGCCAGTGTGCACTGGATCTTGAGATGGGTCGACATACACTTTTTTCCTGTAGTGGAGATGACCCTAAAAAGATCAAAGAGACTTTTAAATTCGAAGTCAAGGTGTCTTAGAAAACTGAATTCTTTAAATTTTATACCCAGGAAACTCAAATTGATTCAGTCATGCAGAAGAGAAATTTTAAAAAGTTTATAAACAACTCTCCATTTGCCTTCTGTATCTTCCAGAGGGGGCTTCTTGTCTCCAGGCTTAGTGACAGCCAAATCCATGGCCTCCTGGACTGAAGTGAACTGCACAGTCTCCTCTGAGTCCTAGAAAATTTTTCTTTTCTTACCTATGGATGTTTCCTGCTCCTCTTAGGAATCTCTCTGCTTTACCAGCAGGCTCCCAGCTCCTGTTTCCATTCTTCTTCTACACACGTCAATCTCCGGAACTTTCCCTCTCCAGCTGTGCCCAGATGTTTCTAAGGAAAGAGGTCATCTTCCTTCTCCTTCAGGAAGTCTCACTGACTCAGTTACCCTTTTAAACTATCCCAGTGTACAAACTGAGAACAAACAAACCAGATACATACTGTCCATAATGGTCCATTGCTCTCTGTCAGTATTTTTGTACTGGAAAAAGAGAGAAAAGCATTACCAGAAATAAAACAAACCACTGAAGGTTGTTACAAGCTATAAATGAAGCTGAGTATTAAATGTCCTCAGACATGTATTAATTTACCTGGCAAAGGACAGAGATGTCAGTGCTCCCCAACTTTTCCAGTACCTTGTACGCCGTGAGCATTTCAGGTTAAACGAAAAAAGGCTGTCATATCATTGTACAGCATACACATAAATGTCTACGCCTGCACCAGCCCTATTGATCTACCCGATTTTGATAGGTTTTTGAAACAACAGTGACTCCCTTAGCCAGCAGCCTACACTGTGTCTGCACCACTTTTGTGGACCCACCAGCAGAACTTTGACCATCAGCAAAGTCAGATCAGACTGGTTTTTTGTCCACATTCCTTGGGTTTATCGACCTTTAGCACTGTTTGCACAAATCCTCGCTGCCTAGCACTTGGCCTGCATCTCCTTTGGATCAGATGTGCTGTCATTCTACCCATAAACATAATTCCTGTCCTCATTTTTTTCAGTTCAAAGCATTCAAAATAATAAGATGGCTTTCTCACTGACCACTAGAATAACACCAGTGTTACGCACAGTGTGTCCTAGGGCATGATATGAACGAATTTCGGGACATGAGATTTGGCAAGAGGGTCCTGGATACATGCCCTGGCAGACAAAGTCACATTAAGTGCAATCCTTTGCCAAACTGTCTGGAAGTTACCCTGAAGCAAATTATCAGCTGTGTCTGGGTTTATATTTGGATAAAATAATTGCCAGCTTCAGAAGGGAGGCAAGGCAAGATGGCTAATCAAGGAAAGTGAGGCCCAAAAATGAAACAGAGACAGAGCAAAACAGACACTGCAAGGACACAAGTCCATGCAGTGAAAGCAAACGTAAGTCTCGACCATTGCTGGCACGTCTTCTTCCTCGCATCTCTTCTTACCCAACTCTTCCAGAGCGATGACCTGTCCGGGTGCAGCGTGGCCAGGGGATCCAGACTTGCACAAATGTTCTTGTATTCATGAAAACACGAAGATGACAAAGCACTTTTGGACTGAAAATCACTATTTCCCCTGCAATGAATAAGTCATGCAGACTTTCTTAACCAGTTGCAAAATAAATAAGGAGTACAAGCTTGAAACATAGTTGAACCAACAGGCTGAAGTGACAGATGCTTGCCTTTATCATTTTTTGAACACTACATAAGGCTTTCACTTTCATCTCCAGCAGATACTGATTTTTCTTATACATTTCATAGCCTTTTGCATTAATATTGCTGAGCTCACTTACACACACCTGCTTCACGATCACCCTCCTGAGTTTTCACTTGTTCTAGAGACATAACACTTTAAAACAAAAATCTCCTTCATTATATCTAAATTTTGTGTCCCACGATTTTATCTCTGACTCAGGACATCTTGGCTCTTAATCTTTTGTTACTATCTTAATTAAATGGAAAACAATTACTCAGAGTAGCCAGTTCCCTGGAACATTTCCATAAAGAGATCTGAAAAGAGGAGTTTGTTTCTCAACCTGGCTCTCACTTCTGTTGCTTTGAAGAGCAACCGAGATAAATTATTTTCTGTTCTCTGTCCATCACATAATATTTGAGAACACGTCAGCCTATTGTAGGGTTACGGTACTGGCTCACACATACACTGCTTCAAAGACGGTTACTGGTAGAGCAAAACTTACAGTGAAGAATTATCAAGAATACTCTATTATACATAGAATATGGTGCTAGAACATGGACCAAACAATTCTCAATACAGCAAAGAAGTTAATAGACCCTCCCTACTGAAATACCCATGGGTATGTTGAATTTAGAGGCTCTTTTGCTCTCCTGACCCATTCATCCTTTTCTAGATTGTACCAAAGAAAGCAACTGCTGCAATTACTGTTTTATTAAATGATAAGTCTTGATAGGCTTTTTCCTTCAAAAAAAGGAGATATCAAGGTGGAGGTAATATGTAAGACATAAATATGATAACACTCATTATGCCTACCATGTTAATTTGGTACACTGCCACGTGCCATTTTTAAACACTTCTGAACACTTTTAAAAGCTTACGAAAACAAGCAGGATATGTTTTCTCAAAAAGCAAAACAAGAAAAGCTGAAAGCCTGTATTTCATTATCCCTGAGCCAGAAGGTGCAAAACTCGTATGCAGAATTCAGAAGAGTTACTGTGAGCTAGATTTCTGAGAAGAAGCCAGTGTGCACTGGATCTTGAGATGGGTCGACATACACTTTTTTCCTGTAGTGGAGATGACCCTAAAAAGATCAAAGAGACTTTTAAATTCGAAGTCAAGGTGTCTTAGAAAACTGAATTCTTTAAATTTTATACCCAGGAAACTCAAATTGATTCAGTCATGCAGAAGAGAAATTTTAAAAAGTTTATAAACAACTCTCCATTTGCCTTCTGTATCTTCCAGAGGGGGCTTCTTGTCTCCAGGCTTAGTGACAGCCAAATCCATGGCCTCCTGGACTGAAGTGAACTGCACAGTCTCCTCTGAGTCCTAGAAAATTTTTCTTTTCTTACCTATGGATGTTTCCTGCTCCTCTTAGGAATCTCTCTGCTTTACCAGCAGGCTCCCAGCTCCTGTTTCCATTCTTCTTCTACACACGTCAATCTCCGGAACTTTCCCTCTCCAGCTGTGCCCAGATGTTTCTAAGGAAAGAGGTCATCTTCCTTCTCCTTCAGGAAGTCTCACTGACTCAGTTACCCTTTTAAACTATCCCAGTGTACAAACTGAGAACAAACAAACCAGATACATACTGTCCATAATGGTCCATTGCTCTCTGTCAGTATTTTTGTACTGGAAAAAGAGAGAAAAGCATTACCAGAAATAAAACAAACCACTGAAGGTTGTTACAAGCTATAAATGAAGCTGAGTATTAAATGTCCTCAGACATGTATTAATTTACCTGGCAAAGGACAGAGATGTCAGTGCTCCCCAACTTTTCCAGTACCTTGTACGCCGTGAGCATTTCAGGTTAAACGAAAAAAGGCTGTCATATCATTGTACAGCATACACATAAATGTCTACGCCTGCACCAGCCCTATTGATCTACCCGATTTTGATAGGTTTTTGAAACAACAGTGACTCCCTTAGCCAGCAGCCTACACTGTGTCTGCACCACTTTTGTGGACCCACCAGCAGAACTTTGACCATCAGCAAAGTCAGATCAGACTGGTTTTTTGTCCACATTCCTTGGGTTTATCGACCTTTAGCACTGTTTGCACAAATCCTCGCTGCCTAGCACTTGGCCTGCATCTCCTTTGGATCAGATGTGCTGTCATTCTACCCATAAACATAATTCCTGTCCTCATTTTTTTCAGTTCAAAGCATTCAAAATAATAAGATGGCTTTCTCACTGACCACTAGAATAACACCAGTGTTACGCACAGTGTGTCCTAGGGCATGATATGAACGAATTTCGGGACATGAGATTTGGCAAGAGGGTCCTGGATACATGCCCTGGCAGACAAAGTCACATTAAGTGCAATCCTTTGCCAAACTGTCTGGAAGTTACCCTGAAGCAAATTATCAGCTGTGTCTGGGTTTATATTTGGATAAAATAATTGCCAGCTTCAGAAGGGAGGCAAGGCAAGATGGCTAATCAAGGAAAGTGAGGCCCAAAAATGAAACAGAGACAGAGCAAAACAGACACTGCAAGGACACAAGTCCATGCAGTGAAAGCAAACGTAAGTCTCGACCATTGCTGGCACGTCTTCTTCCTCGCATCTCTTCTTACCCAACTCTTCCAGAGCGATGACCTGTCCGGGTGCAGCGTGGCCAGGGGATCCTGGTGCTGGCGTCGGGGGGCAGCTGGTGGGGCAGGGCCAGGCCTCGCCGCCATGGCCCGTCCCCCCGCCCCACGGGAGCAGGGCCCTGGGGGCATCTGGGGCAGCCCCAACCTTGGCACTGGGCAGCTGGTAGTGCCCTCTGAGCACTCTGATGTAAACTAGGCACCAAAATCACGGCTTTAGCTTCCCATACCCATTACTCCAGCCCTGCCTTCAGGTACGGCCAGGAAATAAATTCATGCTGCAAAACTGAATATAAACCACTAAGAACAAAAATAAAGTTCAATTCATCAACACCTATTTCATAGCACCGCCTCCCCCCAGAATCTGCAATAATCAGAGATTTGGAAGCTTTGGATTCCCATCCTAACCGAAAACCGAATCCTAACTTTTATTTTCTATTGTCAGAATTTGTCAACTGCCCAATATTAAATTAGTCATTAGCCACTGCTGATACTAATACCCTTCCTGATCCTGAAACATTACAGAAATCAGCAGCAAATTGAATTCTTAGGGTTTTCCAGATTCTATCTCCCAGACCCTAATCCCAACCCTATGCCTATCCTGCATCATAATTATAGCTGTGGGACTACCACTCACAATAACAGAAGAAATTGGCTCTTATCAGCTCCAGTGTTTCTTCTAACGCTCTAGGAAATATAAAGACTAGCAATAAACTAGGCTTCTAATTCTATCAAACCCTAACCCTGACTCTGAATTTAATTACTGGCAGGAGCTCCCTTTCAGCAGTAGAAAGAAGATAATGTATTGCCCCCTAATGATAAATTCCTTTTTTGTACCTTACAGGGCCCTACCAAAACACAGCAACACAGTAGGCTTTTAAAATACTGGGTTCCCAAACCATAACCCCAACCCTAAATTCAATCTTAATTATGTTTAATTAGATACGGTGTCTAATTCCAGTAACACCTTAAAAAATTGCCCTTTCCACAGCTTACATAAGAGGACAATATACCATGTTTTTGAAGCTTTTCATTTCTAAGCTCTAAGCTTACTTCCAACCCTTAATCCAAACTTAATTATCAGCAGGAGCTCTTTCTAGTAGTAAAAGAGAACATGAGGAATTCTCTACTGTATTAATATATTAATGAAAGCTATTTCTATTGTAATTATTAATATAAACAAATATTAATCAATATTAATTCTTGTTGTCTTTGTAAGCCATGCAAAGTGCAAATCCCAATGCTAAATTTACTTATATAAATGAGGCCCAGAATTAACTGAGATCATAACGCATTGGCCCATCCAATTGCCTTCCCTATTCATAATGATCTAGACCCTCTAGAATGCAAAAAATAAAGAGGTTACTTTAAACAATAAATCCAAAACTTTAACACTAACCCCAAACCTAATATTAGCATTAATCACCTACAGTGAGTACAGCAATAAAGCTAAAGTAGAGGATATTCCCATTAAGAAACATGTCACCTTTGCATTTTCCTAGTCCTTGGAGAACCCACCAACAAACTGGGAGTAGGAAACTTTAGATTTCCCCTTCCTATCACTAACCCTTACTAATACAGTTGTGTAAATCTAGTCTCTACAAGACAATGTAGAGCATTAATCCTTTCCAAAACCTACTTACTTCCAGCTCTTTAGGAATAATAGAATGCAAGAATGATCTGGGATCTTAGGAAGGAATGTGTTATTAGGGGAGAATATCTCTTAATCTGAAACCTAATCTCAGTTCTAAATTTAAAGCATGTCAGAGCCTTAACCTGATACATAACTGAACCCTAGCTCTAACCTCATTTATTACCACAGTATGCATCAAAACAGTAAAATACACATTTGCCTTTACCAACACCTGTCGTCTTAACTCTGTGAGGTACAGCGAATGCCTTAAAAAGCTGAAGTCTTGAGAATCTGGTTCCAAACCCTATCTCTGACCTTAACTATTTGAAGGGTTAACAAAATAATAAATGAGTACATCCAATCTCCTGCCCTGTCAACACCTGCCCTTTTCCTAACTCTGGCAGACCACCAGAATAAAAAAATAAACAAGAATCTCAAAGAATTGAATTCCCAAATCCCAGCTCTAACCTTTACATTAAACATACATAAACAGTAAAGGAGGATATAGGGCATTTGCCCCTTTCAGATGTTACCTTCTTCCTGATTCTTCATTCCCCTGAGAAAACAAAAAAAAAACCATTTCTCTCTCATATTCCCAAACCCCAGTTTAAAATGCACCCTGAAGCCTAATGTTCACTAGCACACCCAAACAGTCAGTGGCCCCTTATGACCTGTCCCCTTCTGCACCCTGTGAGTCCCAGAAGCTTTACACTCTGACTCTCGCAGAAACCATATTCCAGTTTTTAATTATTCCCAGCAGACAAATTCTAGCAGATATATCTGTGTAGATTAACCCCAGCAGATTAAGACAGACTGGCACTATTAAACTTTACTCTCCTACCTATATGGGACCTACAAAATATTGCAATCAGCTTGGCTCCTGATGCAACAGAAACTCCAAAGTTAACCTCAATCCTCATTCTGCCTAAGGCCTGACATCTATATCTAACATAAGAAGAGATCTTAATATACTCCCCTTTATTAACATTTGTCCTCTTCCTAGTTTTGAGGAACTTGATAGCTTAATATTGGCTATGTTTACAGAGCCAGGGAAAATAACAAAATAACTTTCCATGAGCTTATGGTTAACTGGGATTAAGTTAAATGGAATTGTTTTGACTAGATGTTATTCTTTTGGGAAACATTTTTCACTGACTCTTCCTCTGGATTATTTGCATTGTAAACATCTCATTAGAATGAACTGAATAGTCAAGAAAAATGTTTTAAGTCAATACATTGCACAGTAAAGTTAATAACTACTGAAATCAACTTCTTCAGCAGATATGTTTTATAAAGAAATATGTTAATTTCCTTACTAATTTTTAAACATAACTTAACGTTATAAAATCTCATAGAATTTTTACAATGAATGTAAAAGTGGTCTTGATCAGAACTGATAAAAGGAAAGTATGATATAAAAATTATTCACTTATTAGAAATTTACTTTTTGCAACAGCAACTATGATTTCAGGAGTACTAACAATTTGTTACATACTTGATGCAAGTTCTCCACCTAGTGGGGTAATTTTTAATATTCTAACTGGATTGCAATTCCTGGCATGTCATCATTATTATTTCTGATTAATTCAAGGAGTAATAGCAACAAATTCCTTATGCCATATTTTATAAATATTGATGTAATACAACAAGTTTTTCCAAAATTGAAATTAATTTCATACAGTGACTAAAATACTCATAACAGCTTCATAGAACATAAAGATCAAGACAAATATAAAAGAAAACCCAGTCACCAAAACCAAACTGTATCCCTAACACTGTCTGAAAAAAACAGCCTCAGATATTTTGTTATTCTAGTTTTTGGCAGCTGAGTAAAGATCAATTCTTAGAAAATCCTATATACTTCACAAATACTAACAACAACTATATTTTAGACCACATTTCAAGCAGGCAAAATACCTGCTCATACAACATTTACAAAACAAACCCATTCAGATGCCAGAGTAAAAAGTAACAATTTAAACAATTTATCATGGGACAAATGATTTCAAATCACTTGAAGTCCTTACTTTCAGCCGAGATGGGACTGTAAAATATATACTCTAGTCCGACCCCATGTGTTTGTACATCATGCGGGAAATCCTGAGGAAAGCAGAAGGATCATTGTCATTCAGAAAGTCAAACCAGATGATCATAATGATCAACCCTTTTTTAAATACATGAATCATTGTAATCTTCCTTCCTGTGCTCGGGAAGAACAGCTATCCCTTGGAAAAAAATTACAAAAGTAAGGAGACTTCATACAAAACACACTGTCCACATTCCAGATCTAGCTGGCCCCAGCTCAAGGACTTCTAATCACAACTGTAGCAGTATGGCACAGAGAAATAAATGTGCCTTCAGGTAGGTTGGTCCTGAGCCACTCAGGGAGAGTAAGGTCAAAACTGCAGCTATGAATTTCACCTCAGTTCTTCCTGGCAACTAGTGCCAGCACTGAAGCAATTGGTGTAATGCACTGTGCTCCCTGCATGATACATTGCTTAATAATTGTGTGGCTGCATTTCAAGTCACCTTCAGTTCACAGTGGTTTTTAGCTGTCGCTTGACAGCAAGAGTGGGTCACAGTTGTCCTGCGCTTGAGATAATGAACCTTTAGATCATAGCAGCGCGCCCCATCAGGCAAAAGGGGCCACAGGTTCTGACTAGGTACAGATCAACATTATAGACTTGGTCTTCTATAACATGAGCTTCAGAAAAGTGCCTTGATTCTTTCAGTGCGTTTGCCAGCACTCATTTTGCCAGTACTGGGGGTCATATTCCCTCGCAGTTTACTCTTTCTTACTCTGCCAGCTGACTCCACCAAGGCACTAAGTCTGGCAGATTTACATAGGCTTATTTGGGTAACCTAGCTCTCGGCCAGCGGACAATCTCACATGCACACAAGGCAATTTGCCCAACAGCAGCAGACAAACGTCCCTACTGCACAGAAAGGGAAACTGAGACGGAAGGATGCTGTGACTTATCTGAGCAGATCATGAACAAGAGGCAGTGGAGGAAGGAGAATGAACTGAATTCTTTTTGTATATGCTAATAATACATAGTCTTCAAAAACATTTTCTTTCTAAACAGGAAAACAATGCTTAATCCAGGACAAAAGATTTTTTAATGCCAGATTAAGTGATATGAACACAGTATCCTGCAGGGAACGACGCCAGACAAGAAAGACTGGGGAAATTCCTTGTCGTGATGACATATACACATATAATATTGTCTTTTACAGTAGCTGAGTTTCAACTGTGGGGTGAGTAAGACATTTTTTTATTTACTTTTTCCTCACAAAAATTTAAAACACATAGCTATGTAACTCGTGGAGTTTTTCAAAGCCACTCAGCTCTAAGAGCTCTCATCAAACTTCTGCTACACAAAAGGAAGTAATACAACAACTTCACTACACTTTTTACTATTATTCTAGTTCATGACCCATCATCAAGAACAGTCTTTCTTTTTCAGTTCTGGAGATCGCAGTGCAGACTTTAAAAGCCCTGGAGTCTTTCTTGACTAGAAAGTCAAGGGTTAAATTGCAGAGACCATCTGGAGCCT